GGGCGGCACCGCGCACACACGTCCGCCGGCTCTCACGGCGCGTTGGGGGAGTTTCTGTGGCACGCTGAGAAAACCCCGCTCTGCCGATGCGAGGTTTCGCTGTGCCTGTTGCCAGTAGCCCAGGTTAAATTGGACAAAGCAGGCTCAAGCCACACAGCAGCAGGGCAAGCTCTTCCTGAAGAGAGGAATACGTCTGGGGTTTCTTTTTCCTGATGAGCCACTTATTTTTTCCCCGATCCTCCTCCTTCGCTTACTACTGAAGCAACGCTACCTGAAATTGTAAAGAAAGACTAAAAAAAAAAGGCTGCTGTGAAACCACGCGGTGTGAAGCGAGAGGGAGAGCTGGCCGGGAAGTATCCCTTGGGCAACAGGTAGGACTCCACCTCACGCGGCCGCTTATAACCAGGGTGAAGACCTAGCGTTCATCATGAGATTGACAACACAGTGGCCGAAAGGCTGTCATCCCGGCAGAGACAGCACGAATTTTTACAGCACCATCCAGCAAAGCAGCAGCCAGGGTTTAGCAAGGTGCTGACTACCCACCGGTGAACACATCTCCCCCTTCCTAGCACTGGGGTGGCTGGGCTTCACCTCTGCTGAGGGAACCCTGGGTGTCCAGAGATGGACGTGGTCCTCCCACCCCATCTGCATCACCACCGTGCTTTGGGAGCTCGGTCTCAGGTTCCTGGGTACCACAAAGAGCCCGTGAGCGATTTGCCTTTTCGGCCTTGGGAGGGAAACCACCGCGCTGCTCTGCCCGGGGACACCCGGATGGTGAGAGCTCCTGCCCGTGCAGCGGAGAGGCTCTGCGACGAGGTTAACGGACAGATGAGTGCTTCACTTCACCCAAGCCTGCAGGTTCACCTCAAGGTGGCAACGGCCTTTCGCAGCTTGGGAGGAGGACCTTTGCCTAGCTGCTGTCTTGATAAGCGAAGTACACTCTTCGGGTACCCAGGGGGCCATGGGAAGACGCATGGCAGCCCCGCTTGGCGAAGGCTTGATGACACCCAGGAAGGCGGCCTTTTAAGGAGGCCCCACGTTAAGGAGCGAGATCCACCCACTCACCGTGGGGCATGACGCCCAGCTGCCAGGGCTGGTCCTTCCTGGCTGGGTTCAGAGCTCCTGCGGGACCCAAGCCAAGCAGGCCAGGGGCAGCACGCCCCAGGCGGGGACAAGGGAAGGCAAAGGGCGCTGGAAGATTACGGTACACCGCTGACGAGGGCTCGCCCTGCCGCTGCCGTCCCCGACGGTCCCGTGTCCACCTTGCTGTGTGGGGCGGGCGCCGTCACCTCCG